AATGTAAGGTATCAATATCACAGCACGTGGAAGCAGCTCGAGGATTATGAGAATATCAATAAGTTATTTCTCTGATTAGAAAAATAAAAGTGGCTGTAAAGCACTTTGGGATGTCCTAAGGCCATAAACAACGCTAAATTTTGACACCAAAGTACTGCAGGTGCTGGAAATTCAAAAAAAAAATTATGAATACTCACCATGTCCTGTTGCCCCTGTGGAAATAGAAATATCTGATGCTGGTGATGTCATCCAGAGCCAATGAGTCCGGTTTTCATGGAGACATGGCGAAATTTCTTCACTCAGTGTATGGTGAACTTTTGGAATTCTCTACCCCTGAGTCAGTCACTGGATATATCCAACGCTGAGATCAATCAACAGGTTTCTACATATTAAAGATATCAAGGATTAGTGCATGAAAATGGCATTGAGGGAAAACATTGGCTATGGTTGAATGGAGGGTCACGGGGCAAAATGGCTGACTCCTGCTCCTATTTCCGATATTCCCAAGTATTAATGCTGACAACACCTGGCTCTGCCTCACCACTACCTCACTTGCCTCCTCTGTTGTCAGTAAATTATTAGACTGCTTATCCACCATTCCATATGGATGAGCAAAAATATTTTCCAAATAAATATAAGGAAGATTGAAACCATTGTTTTAAGGTTTCATCTGTTCCTAAATTTACAACTCCACCTCTCTCCCTGGTAACAATTCAAGACTAATTAGTTTAAATACTTATTCATTTACTTTGATTGGGAGGACATTGGAACATAGAACATAGAACATTACAGCAAGTACAGGCCCTTCAGCTCTCAATATTGTGCTGAACTTTTACCTTAAACCTAAGGTCTATCTAACCTCCACTCCTACCTTATACTATCATCCATATGTCTATCTAATAGCCTCTTAAATGCCTATATCTACCTCCACTCACTTTAAGACTACACTCCCTCGTAATAGCTACCTTCACCCTAGGAAAAAGTCTCTGACTGTCCACTCTATCTATACCTCTGATCATTTTGTTAACGTCTATCAAGTCACCTCTCATCCTTCTTCGTTCTAAAGAGAAAAGCCCTAGCTCTCTCAACCTTTCCTCATAAGACCTTCCCTCCATTCCAGGCAACATCCTGGTAAATCTCCTCTGCACCTTTTCCAATGCTTCCACATCTTTCCTGATAATATAAAGAAGATAACACAAAATAGGGGCTACAATCTCAAAGGAGGTGCAGGAAGAGAGGGACTTGGACGTATATGTGCACAGATCATTTAAGGTAGTAAGACTGGTAGAAAGCGCAATTTAAAAGGCATACAGTGTCCTTGGCTTTATCAACATGGCAGAGAGTACAAGACAAGTTTGTTGAACTTGTACAAGACACTTGTTAAATCTCAGCTGGAGTATTGTGTATATTTGTGTGTGCAACATTATAGAAAAGAGGTGAAGGCATTGCGGAGAGTGCAGAAGCAATTAACAAGAATAGTTCCAGGACTGAGAAACTTCAGTAATGAGTTTAGGGTGAAGAAATTGGGACTATCCTCCTTGGAGACAAGAAGGCTGAGAGGATATTTGAAAGAGGTTTTCAAAGTCATGAACAGGCTTGGATAGAGTAGATAGGAGAAGTTGTTCCCACTCATAAAAATAGCTAGAATGAGAGGGCAGAAATTTGAAGTGATATGCAAAAGAAGAAAGGGTTGTGTGAAGAAAGTACCTTTTCACTCAATGCATAGTTAGAGTCTTGAATTCACTGACTGGAAATGTGGTGGAGGGAGGTTCAATTGAGGTGTTCAAGAGGGCATTGGATGATTATTTGTATGGAAATATCGTACAAAGGATTGGTTTTAAAATAAAGGAGTTTCACACTGGGTAGTGATGCTTGTTTGAAGAACTGGTGTGGGCAAGATGGGTTGAGTGACCTCACTCTGCACTGTAAAAATTTTGTGATTCTATTTATGACCTTGGTGTCACATTTGATTCTGCCAAATTCGTATTTATGTCAATGCTAAATTATCTATTTCCACCTACGTAACATGACTCAACTTCAGCCCTGCCTCAGCTGCTGAAACACTCACCTATGCCTTCTTTATCTTTTGTATTGCAAAACCCAACTATTCCTGAACTCTGGATAGTAGGAACTGCAGATGCTGGAGAATCTGAGATAACAAGGCGTAGTACCGGATGAACACAGCAGGCCAAGCAGCATCAGAGGAACAGGAAAGCTGACGTTTCAGGCCTAGACCGATTTTTTTGAAGAAGGGTCTAGGCCCGAAACGTCAGCTTTCCTGCTCCTCTGATGCTGCTTGGCCTGCTATGTTCATCCAGCTCTACACCTTGTTATTCCTGAACTCTCCTGGTTGGTTACCTACTCCAGGTAAAACAGTTCTCTAAAACTCTGCCATTAACTCTGAGCATGCCATCTTTTTCCTGTTGCCCATATGCTTGCTGACCCACATTTGTTCCCAGATTTTAAAATTCTCATCCTTGTTTTCAAATTCCTCATGGGCTCAGCCTGAACTCTCGTTCAACGCACAACCCTCTGAGATATCTGCATTCCTCTACTTCTGGCCTCTTGTGCACTTAAATGATAATTTCTCCACCATTCATCACTGTCTTCAATTGTCTAGTGCCTATCTTCAGTTGCTCTGGAATATTCCTTTTCTATACATCTCTGTATTGCTTTCCTTCATGAGACATTTTCTTCAAACTCACCTCTATGACCAAGCTTTTGCTTATCTGATCTAATATCAATGGTTCAGTGTCAGTTTTACAATCTGGGGCCTATTACTACGTTAAAAGCCCAATGTCAATATACGTTGTGTTGCAAATATGTCAAATCATCACAGCCTGAAATGTTAAACCTGATGCTGCATGGCACTACAAGCTGGGACATGTGACGCATGGGATATTCCCATGGCTTTATCAATCTGTATTTTGCAACCGAATTTGCATTTGACAGATGAATACATTTGCAGTAATGTTCTCATTGACAGTCATTGTAGAGTAGATTAGAGTAAATTTACTGTGGGTTGGCACACTTTCCAAAGTCATCATCCCTTGGTAAATAGCAATCACCTTTGGACTCCCATCGCTAATGTAGGCAGGGCTCACATCATTAGAATAAAGAGTGCTGCAAAGAAAATCATTTTCTGTGTTGCAATCCAACTCACAGTTACTTGCTCAACAAGATTGACCAGCCTTTTACTAAGTTTTTGAGACCATTGCTTATGGTCTTAATGGCTTAACTTGCCAATTATCACCTGTAACACAGAGGAGTCCTACCAATCAACAGATAGATGTTCCCTTTGCTGCAATTACACAGCACCTTTCCTAAATACAGGATGTTTCAAGGCACTTTTCAACCACTGAAGTGATGTTGAAATGTATTCACTGTTGCAAATGTAGGAAACACAGCAGTATATTGTGTACAGCAAGCTCCCACAAACAGCATTGTGATTTTGACTATGAAATTTGTTTTGATGATATTAATTAGGGAATTGTTGGTAGTCTGGATGTCGAGGATAACTCTCGTACTGATTATCATAAGCATAGTGTCATGCAACTTCTTAGGAACTCCTTTGAGATCATATGGGATCTTAATATCTATCCATAAGCATGCACCTTCCACAGAGCAGGACTCTTCTAGTACTGCACCGAAGTGTCAGTTTTGATTTTATGCTCAAATCTCAGCAGTATAGCACTACAGCCAACAATCTTTTGTCACAGTGATAACAGCACCACTATTTTCATTATAACTGACACCTTAATTGAGATGTACATTTGCAAATCGGAAAACTAGTAAAATAACCAGGAGAAATAACACCACATCACAGGATGTCTTTGCATAATGCTAGTACTTTATTGCTTTTTAATAGATTTACAATTTTTTCCTCATTTACAGTTTTTTCTAAACAGGGCAAAAAATAACAGTCTGTGACAAAAGGTTACAACTCAGAAAACATAGGAAAGCATTTTAGAAACCATAAAGAAAAATAAAATGAGCACAAGACACAGGTAATACTCTTCATGGATCTTCCCTGACCTCTACTTTACGGAAATATTTCAGCTACAAATTCTCCTGCTTTAACAATTATGGAATTATTGGTTACCTAACGTGATTATATGCTGAGAGTATTGTTCTCTTGCAATATACTTTGCTAGGTTTTGAAATTAACAAAATGGTAGTTTGATTGCTAAATAGGCTAAATTGCCCGTAATATTCAGTGATGTGTAGATTAGGTGGGTTTGGGGAATGGGTCTGGATGGGATGCTCTGAGGGTTGGTGTGGATTTGTTGGACTGAAGGCCCTGTTTCCACACTGTAGGAATTCTATGATTCTCCCCTAGATTTACTCCTGCCAGGGTCTAACTTCTAAAATATATTGTCATGGACGTGTCCTAATTTATTTGATATTGGACAACATATGCTTATAAACAGGATATAACAAAGTCCTTGTTATATTGGAGGATTGGAAGAGTTGGGACCAATGTTCCCTGTAAGCTGCACAGCCACACAGGGGGTCTGTACATGGCGACTGGCAGGAGAACACATTGCCTTCCAGTTCTGGAAGTCACTGCCATCCACAGACCTTGGAAGCCCATGCAGCAGCAGGACAACTGAGAGGGAAACATAAGGTTTTGGCTCAGATCAAACAGAAAATTTCCAAATTCCACACTATTGTTCATAACAGCAGACCTGATTACACTTGTCAGTATATAAACAAGTTTGTATTGTTCATTGATGGGCGACATAATGCTGCTACCTTAACACCAGAAAACTGGGAAGATTTTCCCTTGTGTCCAATATGCAGGGGAATGAAATCACACCTCACATGGTTGTGTCTCTGCAATTCAAGCCCAATAATTTGGAAAAAAAACACTTCACCAGGATTCTTTGTCCCTTTAAAGCATTCATGCCATATAGTTCAGCTTCAAACACAAGCTCATACCTTATAGTTTATTTAACACAAAGAGAAACAAGTTTTATAAAAAGTCAAAAAATACAATATCTTATCATAGTTTGTTTTTAATATAAGCAGTTTGCTTAACTAGAACAAAACCATTACAAATGATTTTGTAGTTCTGATTTTTTCAGGTGCCTCTTGTGTAGGAGTCAAGTACACCAAATTAGCAATTCCTACAACCTGTAGACTAGCACATGGTGCCAATACAGCCAATTTCAATTGCCATTCAGTGGTGAGTGCAGAACTGACTCCATGAATAATATTCAATCATTGGATATCGATAAATAGTTCCAGAGCATCAAAAAGAGCCAGTCTGACTGTGGTCACTGTAAGTTTAAATCATTTGCAAAAGACATCGAATGGGCAAACCAGTTTACAATTAAAATCTGAAACACTAAATTTTATTTTTGGTAAGATGGTTGAATTGGTGCTCATTGAAATCAATGATGTCAGGCCTACTGACATTGTCAATCATTCCCAAATAGATTTAAGCATAGTTTAGAAGCAAGTTTGCAGCCTCCTTTTCACCCTTCATTTCCTGCAACAAACACCTCTGTTTTCTGCAAGTTAAGACAGCCAATTAAGAAAGCACTTGCATTATTAAAGATCTGTTCTTCTTCCTAGGTGCATATCCTGCCTTGCGAAGACTAATCAAATTGAAAGTTCAATTAGCTAACAAGCTGCTCCTAAATGTGTAACAAATTTAATGGCTGATTCTACTTCAAACAGTGACATGAAGTTAATTTTTCATTATTGAAATGAGCCATCTGCATTCACCACTGAAACAAATCTTTCTCTTGAGACATTTTCTACGACACAATTAAAGCGACAACTTAGTAAAGATACAATATGTATCAACATATCCAGCTTGTGGGCTGAGCGATGCTATTGTTTCGATAACAATAATTGATAATTGATAACAAAACTGTAGCTTTATACAAGGCCCACTAGGCAATTCCTTTTTAACAATTTGTTTCCACTGAGTTCACATACATGTGCAGAAAAATTTACAGGTTCTGCACCTCAAGCACAGCAGTGCTGCCAAAATAGATATAAACACCCATCCCACAAAAAAAGTATCATTTGTGAGGACACCACTAAACAGGAGTCAACAACTATGACATGAAATGTATGGAATTCAGTATGTACAGTATATATGTGTTACAATATGTACAGTTTAACATATACATTGTACAATATAGATTGAAATATATATAATATAAACCAATTACAGCATGCATGGATTACAATATGTACAGTGAAGGATGATTACAGTATGTACAATATGTACAGATTACAGTACAAATCATTAAAACTAAATTTAGAGAATACCCCAGCTGCTTATCCAAAGCTATTTTCAGCTTGTGCATTTTAAAAAAATGCTTACATAAAGTTACTCTTATATCACCTACATTAAATGAGATCGTAATGCAAGAGTCATATTCTGTATTGATAAAAAAAATTGGGCTTAAAATATTTTGACTGGACTTTTTCTACAGATACTGCAGTAAAACCAATTCAATTAACAAGGAATTCTAGGAATATGTCTATAAATGTCATACATTAATGCAAGTAAAATCTGTACACTACAATCTATTTGATTCAGATTAATTATCACATTAATGGTGAGCAATTTGTTTGGATACACTAGTGAACTCTTAGTGATGTGGTACCTTAAATATTAGAGTTTCGGGATCTATAAGCTAGAATTGTAGCAGCTAACTCCTGCGGATCTAAAAGGTGTGGGTATTGTTTCATAACAGTATCCACGAGGTGCGGTTGGAAGATGGCACACAGTTTCATGCGGGCAGTCTCCCGTTCTTCTCCACGAAGGTCGTGTGATGGCCATTGGCTATTTTTCCAGTAGGGATCCATGAGCTGGGGGTCACATCTTTTCACTGCCCACCCATGAGGATCCGGAAGACTGCTTGACCTGTTGTTCGACGAGATCTGGTGTGGGTCAGGCCAACAGCTTCGTGGTCTTTGGGAGCCTGGCGAATTAAAGTCACTTGGCAGGCTGAACTGCGGCTGGATTGACATTCTGCCCATGGCCATGCAGCACTGTGAGCTACTGGGTGGGTTTTGAGGAGGGTAACCACAAACTCCGATTGATGGCATTGACTCATGGGAATGATAGCTGTCTTGACGATGGTCTAAACTGTGGGTAGGCAAATAATACTGTCCATTGTTTACAGAGTATGGCTCACTGTGACTTTGAGATCTAGAAGGCCAGATGTCAGAGAGTTCTTTCTCAAATGACACAAAGCCTTCATCGTAACTTTTATGTGAGTTTGAACACACTGAATTGGTCGAGGTGTTGTCAAAGGCTGCATGGTTAAACCATTCAGCGTTTGTTTTTGATGATCGCTTGGTTTGTGCAATTACTTTTAACATTGCACTGCTGTCAGGTGGATTTGCAACCTGTGCTGAGTATTGTCTTTCTGGGCTGACTCTCTTCCCGGAGATATTGTCACCTTGATTAAAAGTAGCAGGACCAGTTTCAGTATATGTCAGCCGCTTTTGCACACTTGCCTTTTTCTCTTCTTTGTGTGGGTTTGCAGAGTTGAGGCTCTTAGTTGGAGACGACCTAGCTGTAGCACGGAGCTCATCTGCTAATGAACGTTGGGGCTGGTTAATTCGCTCTGGGTGGTAGAATTTACACTTGATGCCATAAGTACATTTTTTACCTGGTAAGAAAGAAAATGAAGATAAAATAAGTTTTTCTTTAGATTCTGTGTAAAACAAACAAACAATTTGCTATGTACGTGGTATCAAAATATAGACATTAAGCTTTGGGATTTCTCTTCTAAATCTTCATCTCGTCAGTTCTCTGCACTCTTTATAAAGGTTCAGTACATACATCTTTGACCAAGTTTTTCAGGATATAATATCATTTTATGTGGCTTAGTGTCAATTTTTCTTTGGTGGACCTATAAAGTACCCTGGAGTATTTTACAATGTTAGAGGGATTATATAAATGCAATTTGATGTTGTTGTTGAGTCATTTCATTAAAATGTTACAATACATTTATATCTTACTCTTTGCGCCTTGCCTCCTTGGCAGTGATGATTCATGCCAAAGGAACAATTTTAATGGTACCAACTGCTCTCTGGTCCCTAGGCCATGGGTTCGGTTTAGCTATGAAAGGCCAAATTTGATCCATTCTCAACCATCATGCACATTACAATCTTCAAAGAGGCAGCATGGAGATCATGACAAACATGAACTCTAACTATCTTTAACTTGGCAATACTGAGGCCAATTATTGGACCTGCATGAGCCAGTCCAGCCAATTATAAAAGATTGTATCTCTGGTCTTCTTCATTCAGACGGTTAGGTGACTAATGGCAGTGAGCTATTGAATTAATTTTCTTGGACATTAAATAAGACTCCTAAAATTCAAGTTCTAAAACTCATTAGGTTTGATTTGTAATCTCCAACAGTCAATGAAGAACAAACACTAATCGAATTATGTTGAAGAACCACTGTGTTGTCTTAAACAATTGGATGAAACTTGGCTTTGTGCCTCTATATTCCTACACTGTAAGTCCCTGCTGTTGTGGGGAAGTATTCTAGAAACTATAGTCACAGGGGAGTATGCCAAATGCAACAATCGCCATATAGCCACAAACATGATACAACCTTAAAGCCAATTATGACCATTGGAACATACTGACAATGGTCCAAAGGGAAAAATTTGAGAAAGGGAAAAAATATTATTTCGTTGAGATTGGCACTTGAGCCACAGTGTGCTAACTTCAGTACAGTTTAATGATGTCACGGAAATGAACCAAAGAACTTCGGATGCTTGAAATCTGAAATAAAAACAGAAATTGCTGGAGAAACTCAGCTGGTGTAGCAGCCTCTGTGGACAGAAAAAAGCATAAACATTGAGTTCAGTGAACCTTCTTCAGTTCTGAAGTTATGCTCGAAATATTAACCCTGATTTCTCTCCACAGACACTGCTGTAACTGCTGGGTTGCTCCAGCAATTTCAGCTTTTGTTAATGACATCAAGCTTAGGTGATTTTTTTGCTTCCAGCGATAAACACTGCAGGGTTTTTATTCTCAGTGAAGCAATTTGTAAGAAATTGGATGACATTACTATGAAGGTCAGTAGGAGAGTCATCCCCAGCATCCAGACTAATAATTTTCCCCTAATCAACATTACCAAAACAAATTTCATGGTCATTATCGTCATGCTGTTTAGTAGGAGTTTGTTGCTGTGTTTCCCACATTGCAACAGTACTTCAGCAGCTGACAAGTGTTTGGAATATCCCGTGTTTGTGAAAGGTCCTATATAATTGTAAACATTTTGCAACATGATAAAAACGAATCTCTCCTAATGTATCCCAAAACGATCCACCAAAATAGGCTTATTGAGCCAGCCACAATGTTTTATCGCCATAATTACCATTGCTGTGTATCATTTGCTTTCCAGCTTAACCAAAATGACAGGTGATAGAATGCAGAATAGTACAGCAGGCCCATCATCCCACTGTGTCTGTGCCAACCATGATGCGTATCTAAACTTATCCCATCTGCTTGTACATGTTGGTATCCCTCTATTCCCTGCCTGTTTCATGTGTCTGTCTAAATGCCTCTTAAACTTTTCTATTATATCTGTTTCTACCACCTCCCTTGGCAGCGTGTTCCAGGCACCTGTGTAAAAAACAATCCTCTCACATCTTTAAACTTCCCCCCTCTCATCTTAAACCTATGCCCCCTGATATTTGGCATTTCCACCCTGGGAAAAAGATTCTAATCCTCTCCATCCCTCTCTGCTTCCTAAACCTGTCTTAGGCCCTCTCCATTTTCTGCCCTAAACTACCGCAAGGTTCATCTGCGTAAAATAGCATGAACACACCTTTCCCATTGGAAAGCACTTCAGTTACCTAAATCTACAGAGATTCCCCAGAAGTCAAATACCTACAGAGAACTGCTGAAATTTAACTGGGTTATGCCACACAGCATTCAGGTAGAGAGGGAACCTCACTACCTGCAAAAGCATTTTATATAGAGCCAAGTGGGAACTATCCATATGCCCATAGGCAACTTAACCACACTGTGGTTCATTAGTGGATAGGTAGGCTGATGGTCAGTCCCTTGGTTGTAATGTCAGTTCTAAGACCAAACCATTGTATATTGCAAACCAAAGTACTCACCGTAGGGGCAGTGTTGTCGCTTATGCTCTGGTATTACAGGCTTGATCCGTAGGAAATTATCTAAACTTGGCCCATGGCGTCCAAGGGGGTCATCGGGGGGCATGAACCTGCAGACCAGCAGACATGCATTCTTAGAAAGGGACAGCTGAGTAACCATCAACATTAGCTATTCCAAACATTTTGCAACAAAGAAAATGTTCCACAGGACAAGATGAGATTGAAAAAATCAAACATGGTTAAGATCATTGAACCGTTACACTTAATGCAATCAGTGTTTGTCCAATTGCATGAAATGGAGTTAGAGGTCATGGGGCAAATGAGAGAAACCGTGACCCATTGACAATGTTAGCCCCAGCACGTTGCTCTGAATCCAGTCTCAACTGGTTAAAGACGGTCATTCTTTTGCAGTTAAGAGTTCTCAGAATGTGAAGCTTCAAGATAATGCTGTGCACAGTTTGGCACGGAATGGGAACACTGCTCATGAAGGAAACAGAGATGATCGTTATGGAATACCAAAATGATGTGCTGGTTGTCCTTCAAGGCTAAATTAGCTTGTTGGTAATTTGTAGGACAGCAGTGAACCTGGGAGTGCTTCATATATGGAGTTAAGTGCGAAAGCTGTAGATACTTTCCATTCTTTAGTTGTGACACAATTATAATGAACTCAAACAAACATTCATCAAATAAGAAACAGTTGAAAGAAAGAACAAAGATTAAAACTAAGAAAAAGAACTGTTCTGAGAGTCACTCCAGGACACCTGGACCACTTTAAATTATAACTTTGTCTCTCTTCGTGGTTGAAATAATCAGGTCAATTTAAAAAATTGTAGCTCAGTCACTGGTCATTTCCAAAACTGGTCTCTTTTCCTACATTTTGCAACATGGAAATGTTCTCTGCTATTGCGCAGTTGTTTTTAAAATCACTTGCATTTACTGAGATTTTTTTTCAATTATTTGTTTCCTTGCAACGAAAGAAACAATAATCAATTCAACAAGCTGAGCAAGCTTGCCTTTTTCTACTTCTTTAAAGCATGTCTTTGTTCCAGTAGTTCAGTTTGCTAGTGTTTGAGGTCAATACAACATCCAGAACATGTGTCATGGAGACGGAGAACCTACTTCTGTCAACGGTTCAGTGTTGGCTGGGAATCAGTTGCTTAATGTCAATACAAAATCTTGCTGAGTGCAAACAAAACGTGCTGGGATCTCTGATATAACAAGGTGTAGAGCTGGATGAACACAGCAGGCCACGCCGCATCAGAGGAGCAGGAAAGCTGACATTTCGGGCCTAGGCCCTTCGTGCTGGAATCTCTCTTTGGACCATTCGTCCTGGTCACGTGATTGGTGATAATGGGTCTGACCCCCAACTTACACTTTTGTCTGATTTGTCCTTTCATTTACTCAGGCCCGCCTCTTTCCCACCAAACGAGAACAGTTAACTCTCAGATTTTTTTTTGCTGTCATTACCAGTTAATGACAGTAAGTATTTCTTTACAATGATTTTATGCCTCATATAATTGAAAGACTGGTTGTTAAGTCCAAAGAGGATTGAATTGACCAAGGCTCCATTGCAAGTTTGGAGTGACCTCAACCTTGAATAGGCAACATCCCTGGCTTAAGGTTTAAAATGCTTTGAATCGCCAAAATAGCACTCATTCATTAGGAGTAGAATTCATGCATTTTGATTTTAAAGTGTGACTCATTTTAATGCAGTTCTCACTGTAAATGGATGCCTCCCTGTTGGATTTGCAATTCGGCTTACTCTGATTATAAATCTCATTCACACGCTTGCCACTTGGAAATTGTTCGGTCATGTTACATATGTATTTAATTTTCTTTGAACTCTGATATTTGTGCAAATATCTAATCTTATGTGCATGAACTCAGAGTAGTGTGGCGGCTTTGTTCATTGGCTAGTAAGACAGAGTTTGAGACCTTAAATGTTGCCATGGCAGTTTGAGAATTTGGATTCAGTTTAAAGAAATATAAAAAGCTATATTGATGAAATTCAGATTATTGTATAAACCCAGGTATTCCCTTTGGAGAAGGTAACCTGCTGTTCTTACCAAGTCTGGCCTAGGTATAAGTCAAAGCTTGGTTCGTGGTTAATCATCCTCTGATAAAATGGTTAATTCAGGTAATGATCCAGAATACCATGGTTCAAACTATTAGGCAAGATGATGAAGCAAAACTGGAAGTTGTGGTCAGGTAATTATAGGTTTAAGTGCTAAAAGTTGGAAGTATTGATATATCATAGATGTCAGTCTGAATTAATTGGCAGAAACACATCAAGAGGAATGCTTTCTGCTAAAGACTGACTTACTTGTCATTCACAAATGAGTACATCAGCAGACGCTCTTCAATGAACTTCTTCCACTCAGGTTTTTCGTTCTGCAGGTCCCGGTAGGTATCATTTGAAACAATGATACCATCCGTCTCATATGCCAGCTTGACAATAAAACGATCATCATAACAGACGATCCTTCTCCCACCAACTCGCCGCGATGGCGTGAAGACAAGTATCTTTTTCTTTTCAAGTTCTCGAAGGATGTGTTGGTCTAAATGGGAATTAATTATGGATTAGCAATTAAATTGATTGCAAAAATAGAGTAATGTGGTTTTCCCGATACTCTTTATTGACAGAACTATGATTTACAGTACAGGAATTACTATATCCATCAATTAATTCTCTAACTGAATGCTTATTTATGAGGACTTCCGTTAATAGAATTATGCCCATCCAGAAAGCAGCTGACAGATTTAGAATTCTAAACTTCCATATTTATAAAGTTAGAAAAACTGTGTAGTTAACCTTGATTTTTCATGCAGGCAGCTCATTTGTGAGGAGCTGCTAGGACCTGTGAAGCTATGCAGTGTCAAATACAATCAATATTCCATTCCACATTAATGACATAAATATTTTGGTTATGACCTGCTGATAATTTATTTTTGAGTTTCATTCATTCTCAAGATGCAGAGTACTTTGAGACTACTAATTGGAAGTCAAATGATAAATGAGCATCCTGGCATGTTTAGACTCTCAAGGAGATGACAATTTGAAGCTATGTCAAAGTTTACCGTTAAGAACTCTCTGATTAAGATGAATGCCCACATAAATGAGAGTGTCATTTTCTGGCTTGTGCCAAAATGTCTGATTTGAACCAAGACTGCAGTTTATTAGGATGCTGTGAATGACTGTCAGGGCTGCCATCTAGAAGTGAAAAGCTAAATCAAAAATTAGTTGAGTTACCAGGGAGAATGAGAAGGAAGAAGAGTCAGATGGGACACTTGCTGAGGTGATAGTGGATTTGGGGAGGGTGGCAGGTTGACAGGGATGGTGTGGAGAAGGTCCCTGATGTTTGACAGTAAAAGCTAAATTGTACGAGAGAAACAAAATGCTGGTTTGATGACTAAGCACCAGAAAATACCGACTGCAGAAGGCATGAGGCTGTTATTAATGTTTAAAAGGGGGCCACAAACAGGCTACAGGCTTCCTGTTCACATATGCAAAGAGCCTAACAGATCATTTTAGGAGTGTAATGGAATACTCCCCTCCTGCCTGGATGCGTGCAGCCCCAACAACACTCAAAAAGCTTGACACCATCCAGGACAAAGCAGCCCGCTTAACTAGCACCACATCCACAAGCATCCACTCCCTCCATCACTAACGCTCAGTAGCAACAGTGTGTACAACCTACAAGATGCACTGCAAAAATTCACCAAAGATCATCAGACAGCACCTTCCAAACTCACGACCACTTCAATGTAGAAGGGCAGCAGATACACGGGAACACCACCTACAATTTCCCCTTCAAGCCACTCACCATCCTGACCTGGAAATATATCACCATTTCTTCATTGTTGCTGGGTCAAAATTCTGGAATTTGCTTCTAAGGGCACTGTGGGTCAACCCGCAGCACAGAGACTGCAGTGGTTCAAGAAGGCAGCTCACCACCACCTTCTGAAGGGCAGTTAGGCACAGGCTAAAACATGCTGGTCAGCCAGCAATGCCCACATCTCACATGAAAAAATGCCCTAGAGGACTCTACTGATATGACAGGTGGCACACTTTTGGAGTAGAATATGCATTCATAAGCCATCCACAAAATTGTGAAAAATAAAAGTCTTGAATTTCATATAGTACCTTTTTCCAATCTCAGGACATCCAAAAGCGCTCTACAGCCAAAGCATTTAAGGAGCTGCTGTTATGTTTGAAATGCAGCATCTATTTTGTGCCCAGGAAGCTCCCACAAACAACAATGTTTTCAAAAAACGTTAAAAGCAGCCTCACGCATTCTGCAATCAGTATTCTCTTGTGCTTTGTTGTCAAACAAGTAGTTTGTCTCTTTTGTACAAATTAGCTTTTACTATCAACCATCAAGTACCTTCTGCTCATCATCCCTGTCAACCTGCCACCTGGCAATGAAGTAAATGCCTAGTTCATACAACAGCAAGGGCTGCAGGAAAGGTAAACTGTGCATGTTACTTACACCCGAATCACAAGGTAACCAGGAAACAATCAGATTTTGCCTGTTTAGTATCATGCCCTAACGTTTGGTCCACTGCAGTCACAAGCATTTCATTTACCATTTAAACAAATGTGTGTTTCAGCAACATGGAAGCTCAAGGTGCATATGGACAGTTAATTTTCTCCAAAAAGCTGAGTTGTAGTGGGATCTTGTTTAACAAATCATTGACTTAGCATGCAGCAAGGACTGACAACCTGGAGTGCTCAACATTTCTTTAAGAGTTATTGTTTTATTTTGCTCTGCTCACAATAGTCCTGAACAAGGATAACAGAGCTAGAGTTTTCAATACAATGGGATTAATGGGAAAGCAAGCAAGTGTCAAACCACCACCAGCAGATCAATTGGTACCTGTGATTGGCACATCGGGTCTTGGCTGCTCCTTCCTCCAAGATGGGACAAATACAGTGATATCTTTGTGACCTCTTTCCAGGAACCAGTTCACAGCCAGCAGAATGCCATGGCAGGAAAATACTTCTTTATTCCCGTGACTGAAACACAACAGCAGAGAAACTTACAGTTACAATGTTTACTTTATGCTTCATCTTAAGTTCTGACGGTTTTTAAAGGTGAAGGCATAAAACCATTCCACTCTGAATTTTACATTGGTCTGCTACAAAAATAGGAGTTTAGATACTGTAAAATACAGGCAAAAGAAGCACTAACATGTAATCGGGCAGGCTGCTAGTAGATATTGTGTCACAGCGCTGATGATTCTTCTGTTGTACTAAGACTTCAGTGTAAAAATGACACACTCCCACCCAATGTTTTTACCCCCTCTTATTCTTCTCTGTTGCTCAGTTGCCTTGGGCAGATAGTTGGTTTGAGGTTTGGAAACTTACCTTGCAGGAAATGACAATTGAGAAATTGTCTCCACGAAGCCCATGGCTCTGTGTGCCAATGTACCAATTTGCTGAGTAACACTACCAGAAATGTGCAGCCGCATACAAATTCTAGCAACCTCAGCAATAAAGGCACTGAGGTGCTCAGCAACAGTGCAACTGTGAGCTTCTTTGGCTGCTTAATGCCGGCAACACTCAGACTTGAGAGATAGGCTTGGAATGCTTCAAATTTCAAAAGAAATTTCAGTCATGATAACCTTGGTTATCTAACTGGGGGATGTGACTACATTATTGGGAAGAATGGGTACATAATATATAGAATGGCATCCTCAAGTCTTAATACATGACATTTAACAAACTAAAAACCTTAACACTTTTGATTCCACTGCTTGGAAACCATGTTATAATTCAGTTAATCAATTCCAATCATATAATTTACTCCATAAAGCATACAGGATAGAAACAGGTTTTTCAGCATAACCAGGTCTATTCTGGTTTTTTGTCTTCTACTCAAGTCTCCTCCCATCTGTCCTCATCTAAATCTATCATTGTTTCTATCTATTCTCTTCTCCATTATGTGTTTGTCTGGTTTGCCTGTGGTACCTCTATATGACTTGCCTCAACCACTCCCTGTGGCAGCAACTTCACATTAGTATCATTCTTTAGACAAAGAAGTTCTTTCTGAATTCAATAAAGTGACTATTATATTCCTAACTCTTTTTTTTCTGACATTACTCACAGTTTGACCTAATTATCTGTTGAAATTGGACATGAGCTCACCCAATATTACTCTTTAGGTCACTTGAAGTAAACCTATATAGTTAGATGACAAGAAAGGTACCATTTGTAAAGCCAAAAGAGGAGGTCAGAATCTTGTTGAGATGGCAGAGGTCTACTCGAGAAGGCCGTGACTGCTACTGGAAATGCCCCCTTTAAATCCTGGTGTTTTGGAGGACCCAGGACTACAGCAAATGTTCTCTGGTAGAAGTGATTCTTGGGTTGAAGATAATAGAAGAGGGCAGGAAGAATCAGAAGCAAAGGCAAAGAGTGGACTGCCTTATCCTATTTCCAGTTCTTTGATCAGGCAGAATGCCATTGACTGAAGGACCCCTGTCCTGCCCTCAGCAGCCAAGCTGCCCCGCCAACTGGTTTACCTGATGTGCACACTGTCCGATTCCAGACCTGCTCAACTGCGTTGATCACAGCCTTATGTGATCCTTAATTAGTCTCCTTAGGCACTCAATTGGTCTTAGGGTGAGAAAGTCAACACTCTGCTTAAATAAGTGCCCTTCCTAACTCCAAGCACCCCCCTTTTGGAGCAGAAGATTCTGTGCATGTGTGCTTGTATATGTTTATAGATATATAGTAATCATAATGCATACATTTTGATGCATACATGAATATGTGTGCCTGTCATAGCCTTTCAATAAGATAAATCCATACGACTAAAAAATTATGAATTGGCCCAGTATCAGTTTCTATTCTCACTCAATTTGAATGAGTCACCTGAAATCAATGCGCGATTGTATGAAGGGGATATGAAATAATGATCAAGGTATGTTGCAATTCTAAATTACAGGCACTAACTGTAAGAGTCAAAGTATTATATTTCACTAATTTCTCGTAATCCAGTCACGGTAACAAAAGGCTGGTGTAACTTGATCCCAAAAGCAACATTTTCTGCAAGACATGTGTTTATGAAGGTTTAGTTTATTAAAATAATCAAGCCAATAATGGCTTGATGAGTGGGAAAAATATAAATCGTGATCCTTATTATGTAAAATGGCTGTAGACAAAACGATAGCTGCTCAGAGAGTTTGTAGCCCGCACAGTATAAAGAAAACATGGATATGCCTAGATGTCCTGTCAATCAGTATGAACTCTTGTCTTATCTCAAACAAATAGAGAGTTTGAGATGTAGGTTTATTGTATATTTTTATTATTTGGGAACTTTGATGGAATGTGAAGGGAAAGAGATTTTAGTTTTCGCTTCTGCAAAAGTGGCTTTGTTTTAAAATAATGATCAGAAAATAACTTCTGAACAGTGAGTTCAAACATTATTTCCAAGAAAACATGTGTCTGAAGCTAAGTACCTGGGGATTTAATTAATGAAACGGTTGCATAGTTCAATTTTAATGACGTAAAGAAATCAAACTAGGGGACATAATCAGGTTTCATTTAACAAGTACAGTTTCATACCAGTAGGTGGAGTTTGGTTTGTGGTTGTTCAGGGTTTCATAGCTAAAAAGAAATCTTAAAACTGTTCTAACAGTTTAGGTAGACAGTTGGTTTTTAAAGCTCTGTAAGGAAAAGTCAGTGAAGTTGCTGGCGTCTGTGTCTCTTAGGGAGAAACAGTACTGGAAAAGAGAAATCACATCTGGTCAATGCATAGAAAGTCCTAGAAAGAAAATACTTGCCCCCTCAACAGTTAAGAAAGAAATTAAGGATAGGAGTGAAACTTCACTGGGGTGACTGTCTGGGAAACATATTGCTATGAAAAGGGTTGGATTTCTCCTTTTGCTATTTATGTTAAGAAATGATAAATATCACTAAATTATGATACGTAAATAGCTTTGTATTTTGTGCAATAACTCTTTTTTGTTAAAAATTGGTAACCTTGTATAAATAATTTCAGTGACTGACCACTGTGGAAACCAAATTGCAAAAATAAAACATATGCCCTATTAAGCCAATCTTCACTCTGAGATCTGACTGGTCCAGTATTACTATGAACTAGGACTAAAATAAGTAAACAAGAAAATAATAAAAAGACCGCCACAATATTTTCATCTGAAGTTCTGAGAACAGATAATAGATGTAAATTGACTCAAATAAACAATACCCATTGGTCTCAGAAGGTGACTAATAACTTGATTGGATTAATATTCTAAATCACTCAAAAGATTTTAGGTAAAATTAAATATAAAAATGCCTTTTTAAATTCTGGTGAGGGATATGATTTTGTGAACTCTTCTTGGAATATTTTCAACAAGTTAATTTACAATGAATCTGTTGTATCTTAGAAAGCATTGTTTGTTTGTGTAAATAGCAAAAAATAATGCAAGCATCAGCTTGCAATATATGTCAGGGAGTGTTTATTTTGTACATTGAGGTCAAGCATAACGTTAAATAGCCTTGTGTTCACAGATGTTTGTGATTGGAGACATCTTTGAACACTTTACAGCTAATGAAAGACTTAGGAGGTGCACTGTTGAGATATACTGAACTTGGCAACCACATTATGCATAACATATCCCACAAAGAACAATTTCCTCTTAGATCATGTACTTTTACTTGTTGATTGTACAATTTTGGAGCACTGACGACCGTACCTGCACTGTTTCTTTTCATAATTGTACAATGAGACTTTTTTTTATATCCACCCGAGGTGGCAGGCAGGACCTTGTTTTAATGCCTCAGCCATAAGACAGCAAATTTGACAGTACAGTATGCTCTCAGCATTAGCTGGAGTGTTAGCCTAGATTTTGTGTTCAACTTCTGAAAGTGGACTTGAAACCATGATTTCCTGAATTAGACACAACCCATCAAGCCACAGCTGAAACAACGTGATGCTGTGTGACACAAAACAATTTCCTCTGATGTTTTATGACACATGAAACTGTACCCACATCAGGAAGTCAAAACAGCCTCCATCAGTCATACTTGTTTACAAAGCGTAATAATTTCCTAAACTCCAACCATTGTAATTACTGTACAGTCTCTGAATTTAGGACACTCAGATCACCTAGACCTGAAATGGAATTGATGTCGGACTGGTAACATGTTTCCTCAGGGGAAGCAACCATGCAATTATATTAAAAATGTCCTGGAGAGGACGGAGTTAAAGAACAATAGCCAAAACATTTGGTGAGCTTATGCCATTTACAGGCAGGCAAGTAATGAGGAAACAACTAATCCCATTTTTATTTTCGTTTAAAAGAGTTTTCCAATTTATTACAGTTATGAAATGACTAAGATCATTAATTAGAAAAACTTTATTCTTATCAAAGGAAAACCCCTACAATGAATTGGCAAATACTTTTGAGTTTACCTACAGACACTGGGAAAGATCTTCTTAACCCATTGTCTCATTCATTAAGATAGATAATGGTTTAAAGCCCTTCCCCCTTCTCAGTTTAATGAGAATGGGGCAAGAGGGTTAAAATTGAAGCTCTATCCTATCACCCATGTCCTGACTACATTCCTATTTGCTGCTATAGACAGACTTTGCACATTAGCAGCAAAAAGGCGCAGATCCTAATATGTATGCAAAAGCTTGCAACCCATGACCCAGAAGGGATTCGGAGATCACAACTTTCCTGTTCAATCATAGTCAGGCACTGCACTGAATAAACAGGATCAGAACCAAGTGAAGATTAGGGACCGGAAGTTCATTTCTATAAGATATTATTGTGTTCCCCGTGAACCAGCGAGCTCACAACAGGAAACCAAGGCCTCCCTTTCATTGGGCTTCCTGCCCCCACCCCCATTATGTCCCATATGGTCACCTCAGGTTGCTCCACCGCAAGCCTATTCCTCACCGGCAAAGACTCTTCCCATGGATCCTCGACTGGCATCTGTTAAATCCTGTTCCTGCTCACTGGAATTAGGCAGCAGATTCACGTGGCAGATGCTAACGAATCTCGGTTGTTAATGTGGCACAGGTCTCAAAACAGCGCACCCATGTGAATTTGACAAATGCCCAGCCATGCCAAGACTGACCTCAGACCAATGATTCAAGAGCACATTCCAAACCATAACCAGGCAGTGTTACTGAATGAATGCAGCAAATAAATTTGTTGCTATTTGTTACCATTGTTAATCTTACTCAAGTGCTGCTTTTCATTACTTCCTCCTCACTTCATCTTTGTTGGAATGAATTGTGCAATTTACATTGACAAGATATCTTGTCATAGTTTTGTAATTATTTAATGCTGCTTTGATTGATTTGTAATACAGAAAACATCTTCTTGCTTCAAGGAGCGGTGTCTTTATTGTAATTGCAAACAAATTATGTTACAAGCAATTCGGTGCTTTTTAGTTCACTTAACCGCATTGCTTCAAATGTTTCCCGAAAGATTTGTGAAACATTTTTTCATAACATGTTTTTCAAGGATTAGTGTTTTGGGAGGTTGTTCACCAACTTTCTTTCATTTATGGTATTTGAGAATACAACTAAACTTAAGAATGCAAGTTCAATTAGAAGTTTGCATTCTCTAAATTAATATTTTAAGTTGAAAATGCAGACATTGTTCAATGGGAAACAAATCCTGTAAAAAGGATCAGATGAACATGATGCATTAATCCTCCAGATCAGAAAAACAGAAGTTGAGGATAAGGCACAATTTAATCTCTGTATTTGCTCTAAACCATCTTCCAATCTTGCTAAAATCGATTTCTGAGCTGTGATTGATCAATTGTCATCATTAGTTTTGATGAACAAGGAAGGATAGAGTGAGTTTATTTTGGTTTAGAATTTCATCTTGTAGTTCTTGTCGTGAAACTTTAGTTAACACGAGGATTACTGTCATGTTGAAATTGGACACCTTAAACCTGGGCTCAACTTCTAAGAGCTGCACTGTTTTAGGTCAGTATCTCACAGAACAGAAAATTTCCTTGATCACACAAGAGCTAAATCCAAGCCTGTCCAGATTTGTTCTGTTCCTCACGGTAACACCCATTAGAACAATGCTTAAAGCAGCTGCTTTGACTATGGCCCATCTGACAGAATGGTTGATGGACCTGTCACAGAATTCGAAATGATAGTAGTAAGGTGCTGTGGGAAAAACCTTCCAAATCCATAACCACCCAGAATTTTTTTGGTGGGAGGGGGATTAGAAGAGGTGCTGGAGAAATGACAGCAGAAAATTTGTTTGAGGAGACAGATGGGAAGACCTTTTTGCTCCTGACTCACAAGCAAGACCTCTAAAAGCACTTATCTGCCCTCCATTTGGTGACTGTTTTCCTGAGACGTGAGACAACTGGGTAATCAAATAAAATTAAACAACCAGTCAACATATAATGTGTAGAGCCAAATTTAAATATGATAATTAGAGGTGTGCAAAAACTCATTGGAGTCAGCCCCCTCAAAGGTGCACAGTTATAGGCTCATCTGCAGCAGGCTGAGGTCAGATTTTACACAGTTAGCAATCTAATCTGCCAGTGAACGCTCCCTCTTTCTCTCTCTAACCAATTATGGATGTGTCAATCCCACCACCCTGTGACACTATGGTAAGCATTTCAATGTACAGGCAGTGACTGTCTCTGAAATCCTTCCAAATACACAGCCATTGTTTAATACACAGCCTGGTAACAGACACAGTAAGTTCACTTCTGCAAGCCATGCCAAACTGAAAATTCCCCTCAGCAGGAAGTACAGCCAATTTGCATATAGTTAATGAAAGATTTACACTTGAAAACATGTGCAGTTGGTGAGTCAGCAGAAGGTCAAGGGTAATGGAATCAATACAGGAAACAGGACTAGATTCCCAGAATGTCAAATGGTTCCAGGAATTGGCTTGAAGTTTGCGCAAAGTTTATAGGCAGAATTATTTTACAACCATTGTAATTCCTTCCCACATTCCCAGCCTCACCGTAGCAAGGGTTTTGGATTTCAGGTACTATGACTCCTGAAACAGGGAAAGCTAAGAGTCAGACATATACTATTGACCACATACCGTGGACCTCTCTCCCAGGATTGGAGAAGGGGGAAGAGTGGTGGGTGGAATGATTATGACAACTAGTAGAAGACCATCAATTCCACCAGTGAATAAGGCCATGACAATGTGCGTCATTAACACGCTGGCAGTTACATGGGACATGTGAATAGTGAGTGGGCTATGGTTGCTGTCTTGTTAAAATTGGGCAATGCACGGCTAACTGCTGGTTGCTCAAGTACATGTGGTGATTGAGACTCAGCTGAGAGATGTGTGGGTGAGGCAGGGAATGGTGGTGGGGAAACAACACAAAACAGTGACAGAAAAGCCACAACTTTCCTTGTGAGCCTCCGTAGAGAATTCCAGTTCCCCTTCCTAAAGTCAGAGCTAAAACCACGCATCACATCAATAGCATGTGATTAGAGATGAGCCTACCAGCTAAAGGCAGACAGCTTTACAGGTTAAGAGTCAAGATGGTGGGACAGAAGATTTCCTCTATTCAGAAAAAGAAATCCCCTATTGTTTTCCAATTCTTGACCTTATGGAGAATTGAAATTGAAACATTTACAGTAGATCAGAAAATAGCAGGGAATATACCTGCATGTCCACTTGCAGCAGTGGAGCGTTGATGGTTAACAACTTGACCCTGCATACTCTAAACATGAACAGGCTAAAATTCCAATAACAACAACAACATACCTCATAGCAACATTGCTGCCATCTATAACAACTGTTCGCAAGTTGACTTCCTGCTCCTGGACCTCTTCGGTCACTGGTCCACCAGCTGGGACTTTGACTGAAGGACCTCCACGAGGCACTAGGATATGTCCTGGCACTTCTTCTGGTGTATGCTCCTTTTCCACAGTGCCTTGTGCCTTCACTAGCTCTCCGAGTATGGTGTTGGTATCGGCGTTACTGTCCATCTTTTGGAAAACCGTATGAATCTGTTCTGTTGAGTAACCCAACTTACGGAAGAAGTCCACTTTCATCTGCAATTCAGAGGAGTCAGGGGAATTCTGTACTGGGTATTCTTCACTCTCTTGCTTTCTCCCAAACTCTGCCTCCAATTTATTATCTGTTCTGGATTCTTTTGAACTGTTACTTTTCCATTCATTATTTGATTGAACTTCACTGGAAGTCAGTTTCTGCTTGGTAGTATTAGTCCTTGATGGGTGGGAGGAATCAACCAGGAAATTCTTTGTCCAGTTAGGGAGATCCAAAGAAGTGTTATGGCTGTATTGTGCATGTTCCGTCAAATTCATGTTCTCTTGCGGATAAATCCCACGTTCTTTTAAATCTAAACCCTGGGAAGAGGTAGACAGAAGTACGTCTATGTTAGAAATAAAGAAAACTTGATATTTTAAAAAGTCATAAATATTAATTACAGTGCAAAGTCCTTCTTCACTCAAACTGAACTTGGGAAGAGGGCACTGAGTTTACAAATTAGAGCCTCTTACTTACAAACCCAGCTCTGTTGTAGAAAATGGCAAGTTCCCGAAACTTTAACAAATTATGGTTAAATTTTTACCTGATGTTCTAACATGAAACCAGGTTTTTGTTCAAAAACTATTCAAGCATTGCTAGTATATGGAATAATCCAACATATTTTCAATATTTGCCTCATACTGTATGCCAGGAGCATGCAAAAAATTAATTTGCATGGAGTGTATGATCCTTTGGTGTTTAGTCACAATGGTGTTTGGCAAAGATTCAGTTACTCACAATAGAAAAGCTGTGGATGCTGGAAATCTAAGCATTGTAAGTGCTGAGAATGTTAATCAGGGCTGACAGCTTCCGTACAGAGAGAAACGGAGTTAATTTGCAAGATCTTCCAATATCAGAAGATATGATGTGCTGAACTTAAGTTGTTGTTATGTGTCAGGACCCTGAGGATGTCCTGATATGTGCACAGGAGCAGTAATTACTCAGCATGTTCAAATTCCTGATGGACTGGTATGCCATGGATTAGAATGGAGACCAGGATTAGAATTCTGAGAAAAGTTATTGACATGCTCCTCTCTCCACGACGCTGCTTAACATAGAGTATTTTCAACACTCTTATTTTAAGTAACAGCTTCCGTTTTACCTAATTGAGACTAAATTAGAGGTTTAAATGAACGAATGAATTGACCCATTTATATTGCCTGTACAAACTACTCAACTACTCTGCAACATAACCTCCGCAGCAACTGGACTGAAGGCTGCACATGCAGACCTACGTGTGTGCACATTTGTCATTCTTGTTCTCATTGGTGTCCATCTCAATGCTTGATAGAATCCAAGGCTGATAAATTTCACTCGTTGTGGATGGCTGGAATGACCTCAGCCACTCCACTCAACTCTTTTGGACTCAACAACATCAGCAGAAGGAGAACAAACCAAAAATGGTAGCACATAACATGTTTGCTGGTAATATTTGATTACATTTCATCACACTTTGCTCTGTTAATATATTTTTCAGCAAGCCCTTCATGTACGTAATACAGAGATATGCAGAAACATCAGATTGAGAAAGTACAGAATCTTGATGTATGCAATTTGGTTACCAAATTTCCTGCATTACACCAAACTACACGTAAGGGTTTCTTTGTCTTAAGCAGTTTGGGGTATCCTGTAGTTCTGAAAGATGTTTTATAATGCAAAGGTTTTTTTAAAAAATATTATATTGGATATCAAAAATGCATGAAAGATAATTGGATAACAAGCGCTCAGATCTGCTGCTAAAGCTTACGACAGTTTTCATTTGTACCCATAATTTTTACAAACATCAGTTCATTGGGGCCACAGCTGCAAAAGTTCCTTGGTTTTACAGGTGAAAACATTCCTTGTAACTTCTAATGACATAACCTCCTGTATATTTCTCAATCACAAACTATAGCCTGAGATCAACAAGTAATAATTTATATTTTCATAATCATAATTGCAGTCATCTAAGCCAACATACTTTAACTAATTTTATAGTAGCCATCTTTTTACAATAATATTTTCATGAAACATAACCCATCCTGATTTATCCATCTCTTGTCAAACTGTAGTTTAATTTAGCCTATGCAAATAAGGTCTCCTGACCACACCTGCATGGTTTAATTGGATCTGCATATCTAATTTATGTGATTGTAACTGGTTCATGGATTTCCCTTTGAATGATTAAAACTTCATACCTTCTCTCAATATTGGTCTACCATGTGACTGGCCTGTGCTCTTACCTCCCCTATTATTCCAAGCTGCAAAACATGTTTACAAAAGCAATCTTTGCCCAGTGCTGCATAATTGTGATAAATGCCCATGTAACATGTTGAAATGTCTCAAAGTCCTTTCTTTCAGTGCTGAGCCGAATTTGGCAGTCTGCACAGCAGCAGAAAAAAGGTACAGGGTAGTGTCGCTGTATTTCTGATGCTGTACAGGTGACGATATGTCTTAAACAGATGACAAATCTGCTGAAATTTTTTAAATATTTAGATGGTTTAGAAGCTTAGCCAGAGCCATTGGAGAGCTTTTCTGAGGATATGATTATGGCTCAAGCATTCCAGAAAGCTTGGCTCAAACCCATAATTAACTGATGCCCAACCCAAGAATGCAACAGGACAGACATAAATCTAATATAATGTTAAATTCTAAGTTGACCATTTTCACTAAGTTTGGTGTCCTACTTTCAGTTACAATAATCCAGTAATGTTAGGAATTGATTCCTTGCCATGGTGCACAGTCATGATGTGCACTGGGAAAATCACAGGGTTGATGAATAAATACATCTGTTTAATTTATGTCCTTATGGTGATGTGAAGATTGGATGGAGGCATTTCACCAGAAACAGAAGAAGACAAAGCCATTCAACAAGGCAATAAAATCTACTTTCTAGTTATTGGCTCACTTTACGAACACTCCATGCTTTCAAAGGCAGATTACCTGAGACTTATCCACAATCATTGTAAAGGTGAAACAGTCTTTCAGGGGGATGACAGGGGATGGGAGCCCTCCTATCAATATGTCTCATTCATAAAATAGAAGGGTCTCTAATGCTAAAGTCATTAATTGGTAAATCACTGTGCTTTGGTCAAAAATAGCTGCCCGTAAGTTCTGGAATTCAACAGAAACTACTGATTGATGTTTTGGGCAATTTCTTTAAAGAGTTTAACCTATTGTTTATTTAAAGTTTGTATTTAAAGGAATAAAGCAAGAAGAAGAAATCCAATCTGGCTTCACTTATTAGCACTTCTAATAATGTTGGACACTACTCTCCTAGTCGTAGCTGTCTATTACTCTGGGACCATCCTGGAATGCAAAGATAAAATTCATTCCCTCCTATATCCACACATGCCATTTCGAAGCTCACCCAAAACACAACTGTTTCTACCACATTCCAGATCAAGTCCTGCTCATCCTGTCTATATTTTAAATAGCAGGATATGTCAAATTGGCACTGAGCCAAAGAAGTTATCAGGAAAGGTGACTAAAAGCTTCTTCAATGAAGTAGTTTGTAAAAAGCACTTTGGGAAAGTGGTAGAGAAGCAGAATGGCTGTGAATGGTAATTCCAGAACTTAAGATCATGTTGGCCCTTCCAGTCTTCTCCTGAATATGTAGAATATGCCAGTGATGCCAACTATGCTTCGGCATCTTAGATCTAAAATAATGGAAAAACAAAATGATAACTGACCAGCAGATCAGCATAAAAAAACCTCAGATTAAAACTGTGTAGGAGATTCTGAAAGTACAGGCATAAAGCGAGCAAAGCAGAGCACCAGGATTTCGAGGAGCGAAGGAAGGAATGAAATAAAGAAGGTTTTAACAGACTAAGATGGAGACAGGAGAACATCATGGAAGTGAAGCTGGAATTCTAAGGGGCAGGGAGTCAAGTGAAAACCGACTGCTGAATCAAAGGGTCATAAATGATTACAAAATCACTTAAATTATAATGATAGCTAACTTGAATGAAGAGATAAAACAATGACTTCATGGTGTCTAAGCTTCCTCCATAAAAAGTCAGTTTTATGATATTAGGTTAAAAGCCAATTAATAACACGCGGTTGTTGAATAACTGATTTTCTGCACCACTGCAACAGTTTCTCACAGTAGCATTCTCGGTACAACCATTCTCAGCTGCTGCATCAATGACCTTCCCTCCATGCAAGATCAGAAGTCTGAATGTTTACTGTTCATTGCATGGTGCTTAGTACTGTTAATAGCCCTTCGGATACAAAAACAAGCCTGTATCAATATGTAGCAAGACAGACAATATTCAGGCTTTAGTTGATAACTAGCAACACAGTGCCACACAGGTATCAGGCAGTGACTATTTCCAACAGGAGAAGGTCTAACCTTTTTCCTTTGCCATGCCATGTCACTGCCATCATTGAATCCCCCGCCTCACCAACCTCAATATGCTGGGGATCACTACTGACCAGAATCTTATTGGTCCTGTGGCAAATAATTCACCTCTTGACTCCCTAAAGTCTGTCCTTGCAAGTGGTTCTAACAGAATTCAAGAAACTAGATACAATCAAGGTACCCCAGTCTGCTTGATCCCAACCACAAGATATTCAATTATTCCATTAATATCCCCCGCAGTGGTAAAGGCTTCTATTATGACCTGCAGCAGCTTGAAAAGGCTACTTCAACAGCACCTTCCTCATGCTACAGCCCTGAGGTGTAGAGTGCTCTTCACAAGATCACCATAAGCAGCGCCCCTCAAGTCACACATCATTTCCTCTTGGAACTATATTGTCATTCCTTCACTATCACTGGATCTAAATCCTGGAATTCCATCCATGATAGCATTATGGGTGGAAATATACTTCATAAATGTAGCTCATCATCTCTTTCTTAAGGGCAATTAGGAATTGGTAACAAATGCTGGCCTTGCCAGTGACATCCATATCTCATAAATGAATCAAAACTAGTTGGTTTAGTATGGGCCTCCCTGACTCTCTCTTGGATCCAAGACTGAATATCTGTCAATAACATGTCAACTACTTGCTTCAATTAAGCCCTGCGTTAAATGTAGAGACAATTCTTTAAATTAATACAAGACCAAGAATAAAAAGCACAGTTCTTAACATGGAGCTTTAACAAATTCCACAGTGACTAACTGGAACTTATAAAGAATTCCATTTCCCTTTTCCATTGAAAAGAAACTAATGGATATAATTGAGGAAACTGAGTTCCAGTTTCATCAAATCTATTTTTTTTTAAATTTACACTTTCAGGAACACAGTTCAAAAGTTTGTCATATGACCAATAACAGCTGATATTTAAAAAGAATCTTTAACATAGTTGAATGTCCTAGGGCTTCTGTATGCTGTGATGAATGTTTAACTCTTCATGTCTAAAATCTTCCTTATACATTTGAGCTGAACATTTTTGTAGTGTTTCTGGACGCAGAATGCTGTGACCCCACATGACACAATGAATTGTAGGGTTCCTTGTCCCTTCTGTTCTCATTCCCTTTATCTCTACTCAAGAAATAAGATGGAAAAAGCTGTGGCAGGTGGGGGTGAGGGAGAGGTTGCTGGCAGGAGTTTCTTGATCATTTCTTCAGGATTTTTCTGAAGAAGGGTCCAGACCCGAAAAGTCACCTTTCCTGCTCTTCTGATGCTGCTGGCCTGCTGTGTTCATCCATCTCGACACCTTGTTATCTCAGATTCTCCAGCATCGGCAGTTCCTAATAACTTTATAGTGTTGATGCTTGTTTCATCCTACCCACGTAACTCCTTTCCTTCTCCCCCTCATTTACTGCCTTTCTCCTTCAATGTATCAACTTGCTAAAACAATTCCTTGCGTGAACAAACTGTACAAATTCGCAAACACGTCAGATGGGACAGGAAATGGTTAATACAGGAAAACAAGCCAGAACTTGATCCTGTTGGCGTTTAAAAAGCAGATAAAAATAACATGTGAAAGTACACACACATGAACATCAATTCTCGAAGTTAAAGCATGGGACAGGTTGAGAGCTTAGTGGGAAGGTGGTTTCCTTGATTCGGTCATTTCCGTGCTTATGGTACACTTTCAAGATTAGTTTGTTCCAACACATCTCTTTCATTTTTTAAGGTTACACGTACTGGTTGTGCAAGAAGCGCCAAGCCGCCGGTATCATTTCTGACTTTTCCTTCTTGTAATGCACACCCACCCTTATGGGCACAAAACACAGCATGTGCTTCGCTGCTAACGATCATGACAATTACCGACAGATCGCGGAGACATTCTGCTGCTTTATATAACTGAAGACGGAACTGCAAACAAATCAACTTTACTTCCTTTCAGCCGGAATGTTACCACCAAACTTTACTTTAAATCAGCGACTCATTCAACATGTCTCACACGCTCTCTTTAATTTCCAACGGTATCCCCACTGTCACAATTTAAACAGCAATGCAAACAAAAAAAAACACGTCCATCACATCATGAACTAGTTTATATTCCATTTCCAGTCCCCAGGAATTATTATGCTCATCATTTCTTATATGAACACAGATATCTTCACTATAAAAAAGCATCGGTAACAAACGTGTGTAGCTGCCACCAGCATGAAAGCCCAGATCAGAACAGCCCCGAATTCTGTCGAAGAGTTTACTTCTTACTGACGAAGAAGTCTCAGCAAGCTCACTTTTACTGTCGACGTCTTCCCACTTTACACAGTGGTGTAAAAATGTTTCCTCAAAGCACTGAAAGTACTTTAGGTCTGTTACCTAGCCTTGATGTAAAAAAGCAAAGGTGTAATAGAATACTTACCAAACTCAGTTTGCACGGTTCTCCATTTACTAGTCCCAAAAGCTGCATTCCAATCACACCTAAGTCTGTGCGTTCAACTGATTGCTGGCCTGGAGTCATAGCTTATATCTCTCCGTTCGTGATGTCATGAAATTGTTTTGTTGCCAGGAAACAACCTAAATACATGCAGATGAGGAGCACTCCCTCCCCCAACAACCCCAGAATTTGTACTTCCTGATTCTCACCAGTGCAAATAGTTGAAAGCGATTAGGAAATCTGCCCGGGCTGATTCGGATCTGCTTGACTTTGAGCACATAATGAAGTTTAAAATAATACATTGCGGATGCTGGGAATCTGCAGTAAGAACAGAAACATTCAATAAGCCTAGCGGCATCAGTGCAGAAAGAAATAGATGGTTTGAGTTAAATTCGTTCGGGAGATGTCGGCATCATTGGCAACACCATCATTTATTGCCCATTCCTAATTGCCCTTGCCTAAGCATTGCACAGGGCAGGTGTCAATCACATTGCTGTGGGTCTGGAGTCACATATTAGGCCACGCCATGTAAGAATGGCAGATACCAGCGCTAAAAGACATTAGTGAACCCAGTGGGTTTTTACAAAAATCAATGATAGTCAATGGTCCCCATCACTGACACTGTATACATATTTCCAATATATGAATTGAATTTAAATTCCACCAGCTGCCATGGTGCATTTTGAATCCATATCCACAGAACCATAACCTGAGTCTGTGGATGATCAGAGATAACAAGGTGTAGAGCTGGATGAACACAGCAGGCCAAGCAGCATCAGAGGAGCAGGAAGCCTGACGTTTCGGGCCTAGACCCTTGGCCTGCTGTGTTCATCCAGCTGTACACTTTTGTTATCTCAGATTCTCCAGCATCTGCAGTTCCTACTCTCTCTGGATGATCAGTCCAGTAACAGTATCGTGCCATTGTTGTTGCCACACCACCATTTCCCTCAATTTTGAAGAAGTTCTCAGTTCTGAGAAAGAGTCATATTCGACTCAACCTGATAAATCATCAATGATGCTACCAGACCTGCTGAGTATTTCTCTAGCTTTCTGATTTTTTACATACCATTTAAGGCAATTGAACTTCCTCTCTGGCTTCTAATGCTCCTGGCTCTGTCAATTTCTCGGATTTGTGGTTTTTGTCGTAATTGGATACTGCTAGATGTGAGCAATTGGCAGAGGATTCAAACAGGTGGTACATAATATATATTTTAAAAAAATTCATTCAATTTTAAGTTTCAGAATGTGATTTTTTCTTGATGAGGACTGCTGTAGAAAGATACACTGCAAATGTACACTTGGTGACTGTCTGGCAAAGTCCTCTGTGAAGCCCGTGTAATGTTGCATCTGTAAAAGTGTCAGGGAAACCTTATGCAGGAGACATGTATAAATAAGACATAATGGGGGCTGGTTATCACCCATCTCAGCAAACTTCACATCCTGCAGATCTATCTGTTTTACCCCTCAGAAATATTGAATAGAACAGCTTTAGAATAGAATGGAAATTTATTGTCATACATACTTTTACATGAACAATGGAATGATAAGTTATATATATACAAATGTATAAATATAAATATATATAAAAGGTTAAAAACTGATTGTAAAACTAGTCTATGCATGTTACTGGCTGTCTATCTTAATGTTGGATAAGAGTTGTGTGAGGGCTACAACTTTGAGAATGTCATTTTAAATACCCCTGAATTGACAAAGTGAAAGTCAATTCCTAACTCTGAATGCTGATTTTGTGGGTAAATGTTAGGGTCTAGGGAGATGAGCTGGGCTTCAGGTGAGACTGAAACTCTAAGGTTTCAAGCACCCCCTCCCCAGCATATTCCTGGCAAACATCCAAGCTTTTAAAAACAAGATGGATGAACTTAAAAGCTAGACTCACCTTGCAAAGAGAATTGATGGACTGCTACACCTGACTGTGCCTTACAACCTGAGGATTTCTCAATTCACCGAATAGATTGCTGAGGTCCTCAGGCAAAGCAAGGGGCAGTGGGGTCTGCCTCCTAATCCATACCTCCTGGCAAATCACTGCTCCCAGGACCTAGAATATTTAACAGTATGCTGTCCACACTACCGTGTGAGTTCACCTCTGCTATCCTGACAGTGGTCTACATCGCACCCCATGAGGAAGTGAAGTGTGTGCTTGATGAAGTGTACTACAAGCAGTCTTGAGATGGAATACCGTAAAGCCTTTTTCATCATAGCTAGTGAAAGCAACCAGGCCAACCTCAAGATACCAAAATACCACCAACATGTCTCTTGTCCCACCAGAGGTCTTAATATCCTTGACCATTGCTACACAATCATCAAAGATGCCTACTGCTCCATCCCCCATCAGCACTTTGGAAAATCAGATCGTAACGCTATGCTCCTTGTCCCAGCTTACAAGCAGAAATTGAAGCGTGAGGATCTAGTACAGAAAGTGGTGCAGTGTTGGTCTGAAGCAATGGAAGGGCTTCTATGGGACTGCTTAGAGTTGATGGTCTGGTCCATATTCAAGAATTCTATTCAAGAAAGTATAGAGAGTTGTAAACGTAGCCCAGTCCATCATCCAAACCAGCCTCCCATCCATTGATGTCATTTATACTTCCTGCTACTTTGGGAAAGCAACCAATATAGTCAAAGGCCCCTCTCACACCAGTTATACTCCCTTCCACCCTCTTCTGCCAGGCAGTACATATAAAAGTTTGCATTCACATATGAACAGATTCAAGAATAACTTCTACCCTATTGTTATCAGACTTCTGAATGGATGTCTTAAATGTTAATGTTGATCTCCCTCTGCACTTCTTGGCAGCTGTAACACTGCATCCTGCACTCTGATATATTACCCTGATGTATAGTATGATGTGCCTGTGAAGCAATGTAAGACAACACATTTCACTGTACCTCACTACACGTAATGGTAATAAATCAAATCAAATCAAAATAAATCAAATCGAATGAAATCAAATTATGAAGGATGTAATGACAGAGCATTTTAAAATAATATAATCAAGCAGAGTTTGCATGAAGAGAAAATTATGCCTGACAAATTTATTAGAAATCTTTGATATAACAGTCAAGATTGATAAAGGGAATCAATAGATATATTTGGATTTCCAAAGGTGTTTGATAAGGTACTGCACATACAGCTACTTCATTCAATGAGAACTTGTGGTGCTCAGTGTTTTATATTAGTATCAATGATACAAAGAGTCTGCAGAGGGATATAGATAAGGAAAGTCACAGGCAAAATCTGGTCAAATGGAATATAGTGTTAGAAAATGTCAAGTTATGCATGTCCTAGGAAGAACAGGGGATCTAAATACTAATTAAATGAAGAAAGACTGCAGAAGGTTGCAGTATAGGGATTTCTGAGTCTTTGTACAAAAATCTCAAAAAGTATGCAAGTTCAGCAGGTAATAGGGAAGACAAATGGAATGTTTGCCTTTATTTCGAATGGTGGTAAGCTATCTGGTCTAAGATGACCTATGTTTTTGTCTCTGTTGCCTTTTGAACAAAGCTGTTACGTGGAAAGTTTTCCAATCCCTCACACTTCTCCAGAATCTGAGGGTCCTTGGTAGGTTACTACCAGTTGCATCCATTATCTCGCTAGCTACTTCTTTTCATATCTTACGATGGATCGCATCAGTTCAAGGAGACTTTTGATCTTTAGCCACATTATTTCCCAAACACGTTTTCTGTGGTATTAGTTATTGTGTTTATTTCCCCTCCTCTTTTCGCCCCTTGATTATTTAGTATTTTGGAACGTTATTAGTGTCTTCTATTGTGAAGATTGATGCAAAGTATTTATTCAGATTTTCTGCCATTTCCTGGTTCCTCATTATTTCCCCAGCCTCATCTTCAAAGGGGCCTATTTTCACTTTGGCTTCTCTCTCCTTTTTTTTAGTATATTTAAATAAGTTGTCTGAGTCATTTACTTTAAAGATTACCTCAAAACTTACCATCTTCCTCTTTATTATTCTTTTTACCATCATTGGTTAGTCTTAAAACTTTCTCAATCTTTCTCAATCTTGCATATGTTCAGATGAGGCCAAATTCGACAAGGGAGCCTCCGAAATGTCCACCTTCTTCCTCAACTGAGGATTCCACAGCACCATTGTCGACAGGGCCCTCAACTGGGTTCGACCCATATCTCGCACTTCCGCCCTCACCCCCTCTCTTCCCTCTCACTACAGCGATAGGGTTCCCCTTGTCCTTACCTACCATCCCACCGGCATCCACATCCAGAACACCATTTCCACTACCTCCAGCGAGATGCCACCACCAGAAACATATTCCCATTCCCTCCCTTGTCCGCCTTCCGCAGGGACCATTCCCTCTGGGACACCCTGGTCCACTCCCAACACCTCCCCATAGTCCACGGCACCTTCCCCTAAAACTGGCGAAGGTGCAACATCTGCACATTTACCTCCTCCCTCTCCACTATCCAAGGGCCCAAACATACGTTCCAGGTGAAGCAACACTTTACCTGCACTTCCCACAATGTATTCCACAGCATTCGCTGCTCACAATGTGGTTTCCTCTACGAAGCATAGACTCAATGACCGCTTTGCAGAACACGTACGTTCTGCTTGCAAAAAAGACCCTGAGCTATTGCCTGCTACTTTAACACACCACCTGTTTCCTGGCCAACATCTCTGTCTCTGGCTTGCTCCAGTGTTCCAGCGAAGCTCAACGCAAGCTGGAGGAACAACACCTCATTTTTCACTTGCGGACCCAGCAGCCCTCCGGATTTAATATCAAGTTCAATATATTTAAGGCCTGAACTCTCCCATGTCCTAGCTCCCTACTCCACACACCAGGCCGTGCTATCACACAGCTTGCCATCACACACTACCTGTTGTTAGTCACTAACAATCCCCATTAACAACTATTCACCCTCTCACCCTGATCGTTATCAACTCCTTTGTCTATCCAACTGCTCTTCTCTCTCTTTGGGCTCTATCCTATCACTTACTCCCTACCCCATCCCCCTTCCTATTTTCTGCATATAAACCAACATTTTCCCAGCTACCATCAGTTCTGAGGAAAGGTCGCTGGACCCAAAACGTTAACTCTGTTTTTTCC